CATATCCCATTGAATTAAATCTCTGAGTTGGAAACGGTCCGTCGGACCTTTTATTCATCTTCCTGTTTATAGTAACATTTTAAGCATTTTTGGGTACATGGTTCATTCAAAAATCTCTACCATCCATTCAATAAACGTCTTTTGCCTTGTCAAACTTACGACCCACCGTTTGACCTTAGATTTGACAGGACAGAGAATGCCTCAGTTCAAAATGACGGAATAGAAAAAAGATTTGGTTTGGAATGTGCTCAAAAAATGTGAGGATGGGGTAATTTGACAAGGAAGTCATGTGTAATAGCGCAGTATTTCTTCAACATGTGTTATGTTTGAAAAAAGATCCTCGAAAATCTCTTTGCCAACTCAAAATTTTTTGTTGCTGCGAAATTCAGAGAACTCTCTATTTGTGCATGCTTATCAATTCATGACTTCTAGATCCTCAACCCCCGATCAGTCCATGGGTTCGATGACGGTGACTTCATCAGATTCCCGCGTGACATCGTCCGAATCTAGTCGCGAGGAACGATGCGACGACCTTTTCGAGACTTTGAGACGAGAAATGGTATTCTCATTATTTATCGCTATTTTCAAGGAAAAGAAGTTGTCAAAATTTCAGCATGCAATGCGAGCTCGCGACGCGGCTATACTGGCGGATTTGCATCGCGTCGAATCGCAAATTCAAAGTGTCAAAATGGCTCGTCTTGGGCTCTACGACGCCACTCCACAACCGGTGCCAAGTCTTCCGATCTAAGCGTAGAAATCGCGATTAGTAGCAGTGTCAATTGTTTCGTTTACTACTTACTGTTATTATCTCCTTAATCGCTGTATTTTTCTTGTTATCATCATTTTTATGTTAGATATGTTTGCCTATCGTAAAAAAGAGATCCAAGTTTCACTATGCTGATAAGCCTACAGACTTCTACTAGGTGTCTCAGTTTGCGTCTTTGCAAATATCAGCATAATGATACCCCATTCAATAGTAGAACCTAGCATCTAGTAATGTTTCCTAGCACCCACTCAATCTTCCTTTTGTTTCCTCACATTGTACATTTTGATTTTGACCCTTTAAAGTGTGCGGGTTAGAATAATATCCTGATATGTTCTACTATGATATCGTGCGTTAATGAGCCCAGTTTTATGTGTCAACTTAGAAAGTGTGAACCCAGTGTATATTTGATCTGAGCGGTAGCATGGTTCCTCCTGCCGCTCACACTCTGTCCCAGTCTCTT